AGATGCTTACAGGGGGCTGAGCCAGCTCCATGTGATGACTCTAGCTGTTTGTTTTATTGCTTGCTATTCAGAGGAGCACGTACCCTCTTTCCGGTCGTTTCTTATAAGGCATTTCCCGCATCTTTTTTCTTCATCTGGCTTCCTTCATGGTTGAATTTTTGCTTTCTGGTGTGATATCTTTGTCGATGAAGAATCTGTTCACACAAGTGTACATTACATCATTACAACCAATAAATAATAGCCAAATAATACACGCTAACCAACTATAGCATAATTACGGTGAGCCAATCGAAAAGAATTCGGGAAGCGAAATTCTCGCCATATTTTCTGTCCTCTGAAATGTGAGATTAACTTCAGTCCCTTTCACCTTGGGACAATAAACTCCTTCGTCTGAATTTCACTTACTGGTTTGTAAGCTTGCGTCGGGAACGACCCGTTGAGAACGACCAACAAGCGTATAGAACCTACTTCTGTGCTGGGTGTTTCCAAACGTGGTGAGATTCATAGACTTGGTCCGGAAGGTGAGATTACTTTTCAGGTAATTAACAGGTCTCCCTCTACACTGCAATGATGAATGTTGTAAGCTGGAGTGTGGTCTCTCTAGAGATAAGGAGTCGTGCGGGAATCTGAGGACGAAATGCTTGTTATGAGCATCTATTTTGCAAGTGGGTCTCTTCTGAGAGGCACACTGTCGCATAACCGTTTTGGTGAATGGTCGGTTGAATAAACAGTTCGGTACAGTTCTGTTAACTGTCCGTGTTAGAAGCACATTGATAACGCGCTGTGAATGCCGTGCACATAATTAACCAGTAATCTCCAGGACTACATACACGCTAGAAGAATCGGTCTCAGCCAATCCGAAACTATCTATATTATGGCAATCGAACCGGCGAAACTCTGTCTATTCAGTCGAACTCCCTTCCAAGCATGCGGTTTTTACGTTCCATCAAGGAACTCGAAACTTTTTCATCACAGTTTCCACAGGTGTCCAGCGAAACTGTGTGAAAAATGACACATTTGAATAGAACCCTATTTCAGACGGGGATTTAGTTGCCGTTTTAACAAACATGGGGTCACTCCAAAATGGCTTACATTGTCTTCATAAAGGAAACTGCTCACAAGGTTGCTGAAAACTCTTCGGCTCACATTGTCATTCACCAGCATGGCTTAGGTGAATCAGACATTTTAGCTTCCTCTTAGCGGTTTCCGGATACAGCCTTTTGGACAACACATTTGTCGAGCAGCGTGAGCTGCGAATGCACATTCGTTTAGCTTTGAAATAGCTCAGATGGTCATGCGATTACTTAGAAGGAGTCGAAACCTTCCATTTCGTCAATTGTTCATCCTTGCGTAGAACCTGCATGCACCAAGCACTTGGTCATACAAATGAGCACTTTCATTCTTATTCAGCACTTCTCAGCCGAAATCTGATCGATCAGGGACGTGATACTTTAGTCAACAGAAGCGACACTTACCCTCTAGTTTTCTTTTTTATTGGTGTGCATAGATCACCCAATCACTGCTGAAAAAAAGCCGATCAATGTTCTCAAAATCGAAACAAACATTAAACGGTTCTCAAAACACGAAGTCGATAAAGAGGTATTATTATTCCAAGCTCCTACTGTATAACCGAGTTATGTTCACCAACACCAACAACTATAGTTTACTTTTTGGCCTTTTTATTGCAATCTTAGGGCCGAATATACTCCGATTATCGAACTTGCGCACTTTATGAATTTTCGACACAACTCGCTCACTATTTTTCCGTCGTTTGTTTCCATTTTTTGTTTTGAATATTCGTCGGTGTTGACGTTATTATTGGAAACGTCAGCAGCAAGGACGCCATCGAGTAGTGAGCATATGAAGCACTAAAGTTGGTTCTGTTTCTAACCCGTTAAAAACAAGGTTACTCAGCTCAGCTCAGCCCCACCCCCATTACTAGTGTTTGCTATTATCTCATTGTGGATGAGAGGAACAGCTGTTGTCCTCGGGACAATTTTTCTGCAGAGGCAGGGAACTCGTGTTCATGCGAAACAGGGGTTTTGATGAATGGGTGTGCCGCTTGAAGCAACATCGTGTTTAGTGCGTGTTCATTCTTCCATTCGATTAACGATGGCTGTCAAGTTGACATGTGCGTGTTTAGTTCTTGCGATGAACTGATTTTGTTTACCGAGTTCGAACAGGCGTTCGTTTGTTTGTCCGTTTTGCTTTCGCACGCCCTACCTATTGGCACACATTCCACCGCTAATTGTATGGTGTCTGAATCCGTATAAAATTGGACAACATCGTTACAGTTGTGTGAGAACATGGAATAGTGTGAAAGATCTTCAGCTGTATGATTTGTTTGGCCCTGGGGAGATTACAACCCCCTAATTTTTCACTGTTGCACTACTTACGTAGTAATGGAAGGGCACTCAAGCGTATCGCTTGTTCTGCACATACAGAACTCTATTAAATACAATGTAACACTCCTTGCTTTGGAGAGCTTCGTACAAAAAATGTCCTGCAGCAAACGCTGGCGGGGCATTTTTCTAACGCCCTCTCCCCATGTTTGGGAAATTTCGAGGGTGGTGTTAACGAAGCAGGTTCCGTGGAATGAAACCAATTTACGCAACGCTCACGTTCAATAAACGGATTACCTATTTGTACCCGAATCATTCATGATAAGGCGGCCCAATTTCCGTCTAGCCGCAACAAATTTGTTTGGCCCGCAATTTGATGAATGTTTTTGAGCTAGCAAGTGCCAACACATATGAACAGCAGGCGGGTTGATCCTGGATACGAATCCCACGACTACTCACAAGTAACCCAAGATTATAGGTATTTAGCTGGGATGAAACAGACATTTGGTGCTGCAACCTCAAAATGTGGATAACGAAGTTCGACCGTATAAACTCAAAGTCGGTTGGTCACCGGTCTGCCCTCCTTGAATTCCTTCTTCGACAGACGGAAAGAACAGGTTATACAGCGGGTTCTTGTAGCTGAATTCATTAGGATCATCTGGACGATACCAAGTTAGTTTTTTGGCCAAGTGCTTTGAGCTTCAGCATTCCATACATTATTCTGATTACTCAAATTTATGTTTCGGCGAAATGTTATCGAAGCCAACCGAATTTTCAAGCCTCCCCATCCCATCTTGTCAACTTTAAGATGTTCGGGTTCTCATACTATATCGCCTAGCACACCTGATTGGTAAAGTTGGCATTATTCTTGCGTTCAGAGGGGTAGATACATAGAAAACTTAGAGCCACTTGGAACAACAGAATTGGACCCAGTTATCCAAAGTTTTTCCCCACATTTGTCACCTGGAATCCAGCTGCATTTCTTGTTTACGATGTTTCTAGGCAACTGAATGTGCTGCACCAGGACGCCTCATGTTTCAGTTGGCACGATATTCCAGATATCGTGATACACCGTATAGACGTAGTACATTGCTCAGAAGGTTGCTGAAAACTCTTCAAAAGCCCATCATTACCGGTTTCGCCCTCCTTAGGGCTCATTGAAATACACTCATTAGCAAACATACTTGGTTTTGTGAGAGACTCGCCAGGAACCCAGCTGAATCGATCATAAACGGGAGATTCAGCTGGGTTCTAGGTGAGTCTCTCGAAAAACAAAAGTTGTTTGCAAATGGGTGAATTTCGATAATATCGTGCAATTTAGTTTCAAGTAGAACATAACGTTGACGGAAACCTGAGGAGCCCCAAGAAGGAGAAAACCGGTCGTGGGTTGCCCAAGGGGTTTTCAACAACCTTATGAGTAGTGTATTACGTTTATACAATAGCATCAGCCAACTTTTTGCCTTCAACAACATTGCTAGCCATCGACTTCCAAGGATTGACGGATACATAGTTTGCTGTAACATATTCAACCATATTCAATAAGTGCAATCACTGTGAAGGTTTTAGGCCATTTTCTGTTTGTTCGATATGATATGCCTTTACATCCGAACAAACGCTTTCAAGGCTGAAAATTTGATGTCGGAATCTATTATGCGTAGAAATTTTAGAGACCAATCATGTTGGAAAATTTCTCAGGATCGCTCAACACTATAGACAGGGAGCATTGCGTTATACCGTGAATGATGAATCACCTTCATTCATCAGACGCTAATATGGTGCGCTAGGTGTACGACATCTTTGAGTCACTCACTGCCTTCCAACCAGGAGGGCACGTATTTTTCCAGGTTGCAAGAGTGCGTAATATTCGTGCAAGTATAACCTGATTTATGATGCGAGGTCATGTCAGCAAACTCTGTTGTCCATTTTGACGTCTTTTAACGCAGTCATTTGATCGAACACCCATTCATTTATTGTCTTGCACAGTGAACGCATGCTAACAGGCCGATTTCCCACTGGGATGATCTATCCTGTCACGTGACAACAGACAAATGCCGTATCATACAGTGTGGTAACTGAGCTCTGTTCTCCGCGGAGACGCATGGAAACGATGAGACCACAGCAAACTAATCAGTGGGTACATTATTAAACTCGGACACTTAGCAGCGTAGGAGCATAATTCCTGATCGAACGGGTGGATATCTCACTTTCAAGGAGGACCGCTGACGTGAAAAATTAAGAATAGTCGAAGAATCACCTGGGACCCAGTATGCTGAAATTACCCTGTCAATGAAATAAGAGATAGTACAGTTAGACCGCCTGCTGGCATGTGAGTAATACTCAATATGATGTATTCGGTCACGGCAACAATGTAGATTTCTAGATGACTTGAAGAGTTGAACACTCAGCATTACGCCGTTCCGTCTCGAAGAACACCAACAAAAATGGTCTTTCCTGCGGAGTGGTATCTTTCGCGAGCAAATTCACTACTGTCCCAACTAAAGATAGTCACTCTGGAGATGAGCATGTGTCCAGTACGCCACTACCGATGTGGCTTTTTTGATTCCTTGGATGTACACCACTCAAGTGGGCTTAAAATAATAGGCATGCTGATTCCAAATAATTCGGTGATGCACGTTCTCATTTTTCCCTATTTATCAGCTTCCCGCTGCTCAACCGCACGGCAAGAACTTGCCGACTGTTGATCGATTCCGTACTGGGCCGAAAATCCCCACTGCCGGTGCACCTTCGGCGCATACTTCATGAATGCGACAGCTTTCAGCAACTTCGAGCTTATTCATCGGATTCCTGTGAGGACTTGCTTTACTGCTTCAATACGTCGTGTCCATCTGGTTGTGAAATCTCCCCACCATCCAGCGCTCCGAATTCGCCAACTTTTTCAGTAGTTCAACCTTCGTGAGTCCAGCATCCATTCTTGTTCGATTTTATGCAAATAAAAATCAGGTCATCCCTGTTTTCCCTTGATTGTATTCTACTCTTTTTGTCACTTCCACCACAGTGTCCAGAAACTCGATTGTTCAAGGTGAATCCGCCCAACTGATAAGGAAAATACAGTATTGCATGTATGACCAAGCCAAATTAGGATTGATGAAAAGAAAAGAAGCTCATCACAGCGCAGATACATGTAGAACAAACCCACTTGGCCCAATCCGGGGTGAGGTTTCTTCGGAGGCTGATGAGAGCGAATTGTCCAGAGGTTGTTCACATTTTCCCGACAAGCTAAATGTATAAATAAATCGCTCAACTGTAACGCCCTTCCGTTGCCCAGCTGCCATGCTAGCCGAAGGAAGCACGAGGGCTGGAATATTGCCAGGTTGCCCAAGCCTATACAGGGGAAGTCGAGAGGCAGAGGTTGAGTTCGAACCACGGACCTTCCGATTAGTAAATTCGCGCTCTAACCACCTGAGCCATCTTGCCCCTCTCCCGGCAAGCTGACACTAGCAAACCTCGTGTTTTCGTTTTGCATTATTCCATACGTTTCGAATTCTGGTCAGCCTGTACTAACGAACACCGTTAATTCCTACCAAAGGCATCATTCCTTCCAGCTAAGTCATTTCTCCTGAAATGGACATCACTGGGATACTGCATGGTGATCAATGAAATAACCAACTTTGTCTCCGAAAGAACCTGTACCTGCAAGTGACATCCAAAGTTAGAAAAGTAGTTTTCTCTCTCAAAAATATTTTTATCCACACAAGGAGCAGATCCCGTCATAATCAGAAAATGTATAGAACATCAGTATTTACGGCCTCTTGAATTCATACCACAGTCACCACACTTCTGTTATATAGACGTATTTCGTTTGGTCCAGTGTTCGTGTGTGTTCTGTAAACATCTACACCATACCAGGGACACTTCCCTGTCTTGATGTTAAACCGTTTGTTGACCACTAAATGGACGGCTCAAACTTTTCATTGAGTTGTGAAACAAGGGAAGCGTATCCACCCAAGTATCCTTGCACGTAGGTTCTTATTTTACAGTCACTGTCCTAAGTGTCATCACCCTCGTCATCATCGCAACTGATTCCTGAAGGTGTATTGACCCAGCAGCAAGGATGCACCACTGGCGGGAATCAGGAAACAAAGCTCCCTTGGATGGCCCCACAGTTAACTGATACTAACCGCAACATTTTTTTCGTAACAAAGGTACCTATCATTAGCTGTCACCAGGCTCCGTACACGGTGGATTTCATTCGTCAGTATTGCTGGGTGTTGCGGTCAGGACCATCCTATCTCAGGACTTTATTGCTGATCCGGTCAGTCAGGATCAGGCTTTGGAGTCAACAGTAGTCGGAAGCCAAAAATCTTTGTGCATTTTGACGAGTTCTGGAGAACGACTAAGTACAGGTTCATCTAAGTCTGTGCGTTTGCTTGACAAATCACTAGCTATGCTCTAGCTATTGTTGTTCTTCAATGTATACTATCTGGTGGAATGAACCAACTCCCTTCTGACAGAGGTCTCTTCCTGAGAGATATCCACTTATCCATGCGAGGGATTTCGTTTCTCTAACTCTCACGCATGCATTCCACACTGCCGCTGGGAGTTCTCTTCGCGTTGGGTCGGACTGATTCCCTGCACGGCGGCTTTGCGTTCCTCCAACTGCTGTGGGCAGTTACTTGTTGTTGTAGTCCTGCCTATTGTAGTGTGAACTATGCGTCCTCAAATTCCTCATACATATGTCGACGGATAAATGTATTCAGTGTGTCCTATCAGTAAAAGCCTGTCGATTCTCAGTGCACACATGGCCAGCTGTAAAAACAAACTGCAAAGCAGAATGCCATAGGAGCCATTGGATGCAAAAGAGTCGGATTCGAAATCTCAAGGTTGGTACGGTAAGGAGACACATCTACTTTCTGGCACTCAGTCCCAGGGGTGGTGAGTCACTAGGTGTGTCATCTATCATATAGACACACATGTATACACACCCCTCTACAAAGAACTTCCGCAAGAGAAGGCACCCAGGACTAAGATAATTTCATTGGTAGGTTTTGAAAGACCACCCACAACCCCCCAACAAAGATCACGATGAAAAATTTGTTTTGCGTTTCTTGCACACTGAGATGGTGCAATGTAGGTTCGTGACTGCTCGCAGTGTACGTGTTTGTCAACAGCGTTTTTTAGGTCCTCAAACGCTTTTTTAGTACCATGACCGCTAACTGGTGCAGTACACTCTCAATAACCAACCTCCCCCAAAGGAAATTTAGTCACCAAAAAGGATCACACTAGAATTTCCCGTCATCCATGACCAACTGGGCACATCGAAGTCTAGTTAGACTGAAATGTACATAGTGCTTAAACTAATATGAGAAACGCAGCAGGGTTCTATAATTAGCTAGTTTTTAGGTTCATTCCATTCATAGCATAACTTCTGGCCATCTGAGACTCATTACCTGGTACCGCATAGCACACGGCGCCATTGTCCTTCATTTCATCCAGTAGGAACAGGATCGTTGGAAAACCCCGCACATCATTGGAATATGATTTGTTAAACTCCAGTTCCCTCATGAGGGACGTCTTCGAATATAGGCTGAGATGCAGTTCAAGGGCTCCGAAATAACGAGTTGGAATTTCAAACATTTTCAGATGCAAATGCGCGTCAGAAACTGTCAGGTGGAGTGAGTAGTGTGTCGCCAAGCGCACAAGAAGTTCGATGTTGTATCAGCTATTGTTTTCGTCACTGACATGATATTGTGAAACGAAGGTCTGTTCGTCGCTTAGTGACGAATGAGTGTGATTCGAATGTGCTTGAATGAATCCGTTGAGGACAAACGGACTTAGATTATCGTGTTTTGTCAACACACACGTAAGACGTGCAGTAAACACTGCAGTAAACGAAGCTGCATGTAGGTATTGCCTTCAGTTATAATGCAAATGTGTCCATCTTGGACATAGCAACCTAAAAAAAGCGTCTTATTATCCAGGTACACTGACATGAATACTTCATAAATTCGACCACACAATGCGTTATTGATCCCCTCGTCTAGTTCCATAAGCTGTATAGCTTGAGAGTTTCAGATACTCAGAGTGTCTGCCCGCAACAGAAGATCGGTCCCACATAGACAGACCCCCTCAGCGGTCTTTGTTTGGAGGACCTCTGTGTATGCATAGTTCATCTTCCTATACCCATTTGTGATCTGCTCACATTGGTACGTCCATTTCAATGCTTTCGTTCTGAAACATTGACGAAACTGCTGCTCGCATGTGTCGAAATGTCATTTGGCCTGACAAAGGTTCCAAATGTTCCTATCTCATTCTTTGACGCTCCCACCAGCAACTGGTACAACACTGCTGGAACAAACGTAACCTTTAGGGTATCTTTTGTCTGACTCAGGCCTACGTAGGACAGTACACACCAGATTAAGCGTACCACTTTCATATGGATTTACACAGTTTTGTCTGTTATACGCTGAGCTGGAGCATCACACCACTGGCATAAGTGATCGCCTCTACTCATCAGAACATCACGTACATGAAGCAGGTAGATATGATACGTTCGTAAACTACAAGAATGTTGTATCTGGTTCCTACTGATTAGTAAGCCGTTTTCTGGTGATTGATCAGATGGCAGTTGATCTGTTCGCTGAGCTTGGCAATTGGCTTGCAAACGTTTCGTCCCAAGCCGAGGAGACATCGCCAGTGCGCCGTTTTCGCAATCAATGAGTCACCTCTATGCAGTAAAGGTGGACAAAAAAGCCTTCTCCCTAGATTTCGCTTGGTCAAATTCACTGATACCATCATTATATCTCGTTGGTTGAGCAGCCATACAAATTATTGCTGAATAATCAATCGATCAAGGAAAACTGACATCTGATTTTCCATACTGTGGAGTAGGGAATGCCTATTGGGTGCACACACATGGGTAGCGATGCGCAAACAACACTAACAGTTACTACCCTGAACGACGAGAGTCTTTACTACTCATGGGAGTCGTAGTAAGTTAGGGGAGCGTAAAATTGAAACGGGGCCTGAACGACGAGAGTCTTTACTACTCATTGATCATGGGAGTCGTAGTGAGCTAGGGGAGCGTAAAATTGAAACGGTTGGTTACCCAGCTGACTAAGGGGATGTGTACGTATTATCCTAGCCTTAGACAAACCGAAATTTGGAAAGAAATAGAATGGGTGGGACACAGCTCAAACGGTTTAGATTAACGACAGCCCTACTTTTATTGTTTAACGCCTAGTGTGAGAATTTCAGTTTCCCAGGCACATAAAAACCCAAAAAGCACGGTGACGAACTTATGGAGCTATCCTGGTCAACCAAACACTCCATGCGTGACCACCCATTCATTCCAATTGGTACGGCGACATTTTACGAATCCCGCATACGAATCCCGACGAACATAACGGCCTAAAGTTTAGGCTCTCCGATCGATTGTTGATTGATTATTAGTCCTTCATGCATTGGTTGGTAGTGTAACTTCTAAATCGTCTTTTTTCTTGATTTCTGAACTTCAAACATGTACAACTTTGAAGTCGATCGTTAACCCCACCATACACACCGACTTCTCTCCGGTCCCCATAGATTTTCCGAATACCATTAGATCAGTTGCACGGCGAAAAACCCGTATTGTAAAATTTCATTCAACAACGGATTAGCCAAAATGATGTANAAACCGAAATTTGGAAAGAAATAGAATGGGTGGGACACAGCTCAAACGGTTTAGATTAACGACAGCCCTACTTTTATTGTTTAACGCCTAGTGTGAGAATTTCAGTTTCCCAGGCACATAAAAACCTAAAAAGCACGGTGACGAACTTATGCAGCTATCCTGGTCAACCAAACACTCCATGCGTGACCACCTATTCATCTCAATTGGTACGGCGACATTTTACGAATCCCGCATGCCGACGAACATAACGGCCTAAAGTTTAGGCTCTCCGATCGATTGTTGA